GGAAGGAACGAGAACAGAAAACCGGCGAGCTTTGACTGGGCGCCTTTCTTTCGTGCCCTCCTCAGAATTACACAACCTTGGAGAACAGAAAAATAAAATTCAGCGAAGGAAAAAAAAAAAAAAAGAAAAACACATGAAACAAAAGAGGACATTGCCAATGATGCCATGCTTTGTAAATGGTGCCCTCCTCTTCTTTTCTTTAAATCGTCTGCACTTCACCTTGCCATGTATCCTAGCAACAGCCATCTCTGCCTCCTTTCAGAGTGGCATTAATCACTGTAGAGAGAATGTGTGGGAGATGTGTGCTGTACGTTCAGTACCCAGGATGTCTCCATTTCTTTGTTTATTTTTATTTTTTTTCCAGGAACTTTGTCTATTAATATCTAACAGCACCAGAGGTTGTTACACCTTTATAAGCGCACAGCCAAAACAGCACTTCTACTGATATCAGTGTATTGTTTGACTGTTTATTTTTTTGATTTTTTTTATTCTTATTATAAATATGTCTCGCAAACAAACACAAAACATGCCACATAATTTCCTGGGTTGACATAAACAGAGCACATTGTGGCTACAGGGTGTTGAGCAAAGTAACGTTAACATGAGTAAATAATGGTTGTGTTTTAAAGAAACTACAACTGTCACAATGATAACAAAATAAACAGCCATATTGTCCAGACTTAGAGATAAATTATAGCTAAACAAGATGACAAACTACAACAACAAAAAAACAACATCACTGACACGACAACAACGATACACTTTGTACCTTACAGAAGCCCAACATTTTTTCTGTTAGACATGTAAACAATGAGAATGGTACCCTGGCCACCTGTACTGTGTCTTATTTCATTCTGCAGCATCAAAATACAAACTACGATTCATAGATCTGATTCCAAATTGAACCAAAATATTTTGAAAAATTACAGAATGGATCGTGTGCTAACAAAGACTGGATGGCAGCATAGCTTAGCACTACAAGACAGGGCGCCCAACAAAACCGACATGCATGAAGGCGTCTGGTATAAATAGGTCAATATAATCAAAAGAACACCATTTTTTTTCCATTTTCTCTTTGTTCCTGCCACTGACTGAGCAGTTTTTCCCACACGTCAGTACAAAATACACATAGCACTGTGCTTTTGTTCCTCTGATCATTCTGTTTTTTTCTTTTTTGTGTGTGTGAGCGTGTCATGATCTGGCTGCGTTCTTGTTTTAATAACACCCCTCCCGACATCAACGCTGCTCCCGCGTCAGCACCACGTCTTCTTCATCTCCTGCCCTTTTTTTCCTCTATATGCCTGCTGCCCTGCCATGTCCTCAACCCTGCTAGCATCTACATCTCGCTTTCAACACCCCCCCTCCACCTTCTCTCCCCCCCTCCCTCAACTCCCCACCATTCCCGTAGCCTCCGTCGTCTCACATACCAATAGAGTCACCGACAAACTGAGCCCACCCCCCCCTCCACATTCGCCAACACCGTCCCCATTCCTCCTTCTGATAACTATTTAGCACAAACACAGATGCAGTCAGGCGGATTTTCCCCTCCCCCCATGCTCTACACCCCCACCCCATCCATCCACACTTACCTCCACAGAGGATGGAGACTCGGATGCTGTCCTTGCCTCAGCTGCTCCCCCTCTTAAAGGGCACACTTGCCTCCTTCTCTCGGTGGCCGTTTTTTCCACTGAAATGATAGATGACAATGAGCCCATTAAAAATAAGAAATGAGAGGAACCGGAGCCACAATCCCACAATTCTAAAGTGTCTGTCTCTCGATCGCTTGCGGTGTGTCTGCGAGCAAGCCAGCTGGTGTGTGTGAGTCTGTGTGTTTATCTATTGCAGATCTCTGCTCTTACTGCTGTCTTATATTTTGCCTGACAACACTGAAGGGTCTGAGCATGCTCAGTGCGACAAGGCAAGCCAGTCATGTGACCTGCAGCTGACTGCACTGCTGCTGAGAAATAAGAGGAAAAAAAAAATGGCTCTCCTCTGTATATGCATCTGGCCATTTGTTTGTGTGTGGCATGTGTGTGTGAGACAGATTGCATAAGTCAGTGGTTCTTATTGTGTCTTTGTGCTTTGGAGGCAGCCTGTTGTTGACGTTTAAGTAATTTCATGTCTTGTCTGAATTTATTCAAAAAGAAATAAAAAGAGTACTGTGAGCTTCAATTGAGCTTTAAACAATGGCTACGCTGCACGCTGCATGCACTCCATACTCTAGCACTCAAAAACATTACAGCGACATCTATAAAAACTAAAATAACATTTGTACCTAATCAGAGTTTTTTTTTTTTCAGGGTTTGAGGGAATGTGCTGCTTCCAACGTAAAGCACCTTCTGTGCACATTCCTCTCTTTGTTCTCTTCTATTTTTTATTCTGCAGATGCACTTTTGTAATTTCTAAATACTGCATTATGCATAATTTAAATATGACTATCGCTATTATTGTTAAACAAGATGTCCTGTACCTGTTTAGTTCTCTTTTCCTTTCTTTTGTATTTCCTGGCATGCTCTAAAAATAACAAAAAAAAAATTAATTAACATTTATTCTCTCTAAAATAAACCTGCTGTGTCTATGATACATTATGATACTGGGTCATTGTGTGCATGTGTGAGACAATGGCCACAAGGCCTTTGAGCTAATCAGTCTTTACCCTCATTATCTCAAGGTTTCTATTTCAGAAGTGACCTAAACAATGGACAGATTAATGAACAGGTGTTACGCCAACCGTCTTCCGTTCATGCGGCTGTAGTCGGGAGAGGAAGAGAAAATTAAGATCACAATAATGTAAACTAAAGGGCATGACCACGATGGCTCAACAGAAATATGTAGTGCACCCTTTAATGTAATGCCATAGCTGTTTCATCAGCCGAGCTTACGCCGCCTGGTGCTTTCCTTGTGAATGAAGTAGCAAATGTAGATTGTGAAATAAATTCTTTAGAATACTTTTTGGCGCTTTCTATGTTCCACTTTATAAAATTGCAACATTATTGCAACATCTTTCGTCTTTTGTGGAAAAAAGAATAAAGAATTTGCTTCTGTATAATTTAGTAATCTAACAACAAGTCTGGAAAAATGTGACTGTACAAGTCTTCACTGTATTTCCTTTCAGCCTGCACTATAAATGTACAGTATGTGTTGTATTAACAAATTGTAATTTCTCATTTTGGGAAAGAGTTCAGTGATACTAATCAAATAAAACTTAAATATTTCTTACAGTTCCCAATATTTTCTATTCTATTTATTCTTTATGATTGTACATTATCTATGACGGGATTATTATGTAAACTTATATTCTTTTACTTCCTCTTATGGTTTTTTGCATCTGGCCCTTTTATTAATTTGTCATTGGTCACAGTAGTTGCACTTGTACAGTAATATGTTTAGAAGCATTAGCTGTCATATCTGCTCATCTCTTAAGATTTATCTGAGCACATTCCCACAGTGTCTTACTGTACAGGGGTTAGCAGCCAATAATACTGACTGACAGCCAGCAGCTCAGTCAGTCGACAGAGAGACTGGACAGCAGACCTGTTTCCCACCTGGTGAGGTTTGTTCAATGGTCCTTAGGTCCTGGAGTGGAGGGGATCCAGGCAGAGGCAGGCAGCAGCCAGTGACAGAACAACATGGGCAGTGGAAGCAGCAGTGCTAACACCACCACAACTGTAAACAGGTGAGAGCAAAAAATGGACCACAGGGTGAGAGGACATGGACTTAGCGAAGACTGCATCTATTCAATAGGCCTGAGGAAGTCCAGAGAACATTCAGTTCGTATCAGTGTTTTCTGTATCTGCATAATAAACAGGAATATATTTGCCAGACTGATACATATAAGCTTGAATGATTTCATTTGAATCTCACTATAGTTGTGACATAGTTGTTATTTGTCCCTGCGGCAAGGTTTTAGCTTGCATATATCCATTTATTCAGCCGAGCTGATTACAATATGAATAATTATCCAAGGAAATATTTGCAGCATAGTCATGCAGTGTCTGCGCTGGACATACAAACACTACTTGTATATACTGTCTGCACTTAACATGCTATGATCTGCAGAAATCAAATAAATTAGATTTGTAGTAGTAATGTATGTTTGTATGAGTTGAGGGCCTTCTATTGTAGCTGAAGCTTGCACTTAAAATATTTAATAAAATTAGATTATTAAATAAATTCAATACGTTTCAAAAAAATATGTAAAGAATATCTATATTTTAAAAATAAAAACCAGATACCAAAACAGCTTAATTCATGAAAAAACATTACGAAACTGTGGTATAATGTTTCACCACCAGATGGCCTCATAGCCTCACGCATTGCACAGTAGCAAAGGTACCAGCACACCCACAGGGTCCTGGTTGATTTCTCCCTCTACCATCCATCCATTGACCGGCTGGGAGCTAATAAAGCTGGGCTCAATAAACAGTATCTGGGACTCACTTGTGCACAAGGTTGTAAAAACTGAATAAAGACGCAAGCAGAGTCTCAGTAGCGTCCAATACCGTTACCGCATATTATATCATATTTGATGATGATGCCCCCCCCCCTTCCCCCATGCTTCCTGATAATGGAGTCAACGCGGTTTTTACATTAAACACTCTTAATTAGAACCTCCCACAGGATCATTATAACGGACTAGACACTGAATAGACATACTAGACAAACCGCTGCGTTTTTTTCCCCCAGGAAGCTACCCCATGCCATCCACAGTCACATGTCGCAGTCTACGCTCCTCTGATGCATTCACGCGCCCCTATTGGCTCCCGAACTTTACTAAGCACCTCCACGACCTATCTGCGTATCCTTCCGCGTTTTCAGTTGTTTTAAAAAACTATTTTCGGACTTTCCACAAAGGTGGCGCTGAAACAAACGCGTTTGTTTGACTTAGCAGCGATGAATGCGGCTGATAAAATTGTATGAAGCCAGCGCACCGCTTTTTTCTTGTATCTATATTCCCTCGGATGGATACATCTCAGCATCCCTAGAAAGTAGTTCCGCAGAGTGAGGGACTAGAGAGAGATCACCTTGAGCTGCACTCACTCTTCCGGCAGTTTCATCGGTCCAGGCACCTCATCTGCAAGACAAGGTGGGTACCCTGAGCAGGCGCTGCAGCCTTTAACGTTCTTTAGAAGTGGCCTGATAACCCGTGGGGCACTGAGTTGTCACATTGCTGCCTTTTATCTTTAGCTACATCCTGCGCGCTGGTAAGTTCCACCATGTGTGAGTCGGTCATTTGTGGCTGGTTTCCACTTCATACTAAATGCCTTTTTTTAATCTAAATATTGTGCAAAGATGCCAATACACCGAGGCAACTTGGATAAGTCATTTAAAAGTCCTGCTATGCTAGCTTAATCTGTTTTACGACGTCCTGGCTTCAAAATGCACATACACTGAGGGAATTTGTACCGGCACCGAGCAGATGTTTATGTAACGAACTGTTAATACGCCATAGTCTTGTCTTTTTTTTCTTTTTCTTTTTTTTAACTAAACTGCGCGAATATACCGGAATTTATGACAGTAACTGTGATGCGGGAAGTGTTGCACGTAGTGGAGTCGCTTCCTGATGCCTCATGTTGTGGGTGTGGCCGCTGCGTGTTCTCGGCCTCCCATTGGACAGCCTCCGTGATGTCTCGAGATCAGGAAAATGTGACGCAGGATGAGAACGTGACCTTTAGCGCATCGTCTGCAGCGTAACTCTTAATTAAACTGCATTTGTAACACGCTAATAGGCATGAATACACGATCGCTAAAATGACCAGCATTTCTTTTGTTTATTTATTTATTTTTTTTAAAGCCGCACGTTATCATTGTGTTCGTTCATGCTAGTCAGTGCTGCCAGATAAACTCATCACGTTCCTCCTCCTCACCCTTATATGTATCCATCTTTTCTGCAGTGTGTCATTGCAGATGCTTTGAATGAATCTGAACCATGTTAGTTATATGGTTGCACACAACCGTACTATGGTGAAAGGCAGAAATGTGTACATTGCAATAGCAGCTTTACTGCAGTAGCTTGCTGCAGTGGTGCCACAAAGGATAGGCCTTATTGACACTGGATACCCAGGCATGGAGGCAGGTCTCGCCCTGCTGTTTAGATCTGCCTGGCAATTTGAGCTGTCCTTGGTGTGTGGTCACTATACCTTCTTTGTCACTGTTTTCCCAAAGCACCTGAAAGGATAAGACTGACCAAAAAAGGCCTTTGTCTGAAGTCGCATTTTAAATTGTAATATGATGTCAAATTGATCCACTGTGACTGAGCCTGCAGCATAGCTTGCACATGCTTCGCTATAACAGTTGTTACGTGTATGACAAAATTCTGGAGACTCTTGTCATTGCTGTGCCCTTTCTGACTGGAGGCTCTGCTGACCAAGTGCAGTCTTTATCCCAGGAGAAATGTCAGGTCATCATGTCACGTGATGTGGAGTTCTGCTAAGTTGATGAGTTCAACAAAAGCAAACTTTGAAGTGCCTGTTACTTTAGTGTTGGCTGTTAAGAGTAAATCACTTTGGAGCAGCACAGAATGATCTGTGGAAAATATCCAATTGCAGTTTTTCTGACAGAGTTTGCACTTTGATGTGATAACAGTTGAATAGATTGAAAACATGATGGAGCATTACAACAAGATACAATCAAAAGTATGACTGTCACACAAAGAGGACAACAAGAAATTGCTAAACGACTGACACAGCAACTGAAATCCTGGGATAGATGTCCTGCATAGTGTATATCCAAAATTGCAACCTTTGCATTTTTCTAATTGTGAATTCATTTTAAAAGCTATTAACTGTTCAGCCTTAATTTTGGTAATTGATGAAAAAAAAATTTCCAGGTGATCTAAAGTTGTCAAAATGATTCCCTGTCTCCAAGTAAAGTCAAAGTTACTTAATAAATTCCACACTAAAAGAGAGTTCATAAACTTTATCTGTAAATCCAGGCGCTAGAACTTAGTCGTAAACGGGTATGAACTGCAGGTGAAACACTCAATACCATGGAAGCTTGTATAATTGTTATAGTCTTGGCTGGTGTTGTTGATGTTTTGACAATGAATTATGGATTTTCCCTCCTACTGCAGTTAATTGATTTGGGTTCTTTACCTGCTTTGTGGAAATACGAGTTTAGTGGCAGCAGAGCCTGGGGGCCAGCGCAAGAGGCTACGCCTTTCACAGCTGGCACTGCTCCCATTCAGTCTCCCCACTGCAGCTGTGTGTGTGATGACTAATTCCACATAAAGCCAACACAACCAGTTATAGGTGTATCTTTGCCACAACAGGCATACTTGTGCTGAGCTGACAAAACGCTCAGTTTAATGAGTGTTGTTTACTTCTTTATAAGGTACTTTTATTCTGTTCCTAAACCCATGATATAACCCACCTAAGGTCTGTACGGTAGTTTACAAACCTAGTTTACGAGCAGTGTAGTATAAGTACCTTAGTACATTCCAAGTATTAGATTTGTACACACTAACCGATGCTGTGTGTTATTAATAGCCAAGACTCTGTTTTTAGCCCTGAGGTGCAGTGAGACCTGGGCTGGTAGTAATATTAGCATGACACTGCTCTGGTTTGCCGTGGTTTAGTCTCATGTATGTCCGTTGTTTTCGATCATGGCGATTGCCCGGTCACAGCAGGAGCTCTCAATGTCCTTTATCCTCATTGACTGGATTTACTCTTGAGCTCCTAAAAGTGTCGCACCTATGCACGCGTGCTGGAGCGATCGGCTCTGCTGTTGCGATCGGCTCTGCTGTTGCAGGGAGTGCCTTGTTCACTGCTGGTGGAAGCTCTGGCACGCTGGGGTGGCTGTGGAGGTCATTGGTAGTGACGTGTTTGGCTGTCCCCAGGAGGAGCAGGAAGATCTACAGGGGGTAGGTAGAGTAACCTTTGTTGAGTGAGTGTAAGAGAGTGATGCCACTGACCATCACCAAAATCCAATCACATCTGTAGTAGGTGATGACAAATGTCATGCCTCCTTGACAGCTATGATACCATGACTGCTAATGATTGCATAGGCATATTTCATAGATAGGAAAATAGTTTAGAAAGACAGGCAAAGATAGTGATAGAGGGTATGTAACAAGCTAGATGTGTTGGGAAGGGATTGGAGAGGATTATTAGCAGCCAGCTCTAAAGTTAGTCCTGCATCTGTGTCAGGGTTACTATGGCTGCTGTTGGCCCGTGGCTACTACTCACTGGCTGTCTTGGGTTCAGGCACGCTACTTATGTCTGCCAGTGGGCCATTACTGCCGATTATGTCATTCTGTATTTCCATAACAACCAGGAGCCGGCAAGCTGGATCAGACAAACAGAAATATTACCAATATGAGTTTATTGGTACCATTAAAAATCATGATAATAAAGCTTATTGAACTGTGAACTATTACTGCACTTAATGAGGGACAGTCTTTACCTTGTTTTAAAAATAGTATCAGGTGGATGTGTATTTATTGCCAGTAATATTCCCTCTGCGGAGATGGGCAGTATTTGAGGGCACAGTGCTAGAGGTTGATACTTAATATATATTTGCCAAAGAAATTTTACTCTATTCCTACCTTATCGCATTTTTTATTTTTTTTTTAAATAGGGGGTGGGGAGTCTTTATCCAAATGGAAAAACAATTATTGGCCGCTGTTGTGTGGCAGTGATATCTGAAGCCAGTCTTGTTCTATGAAGAATAAGGTTCAGATTTAATACTCTTGCTACTCTTGGGAATTTTATGGACTTGCATCATACATGTGTGGTCAAGAGATACAACTTCTATAAAGGGAGTTTCCTGATGCTTTATCTCCTTGTTACCCTCTATGACAATTGTGCATCCTCTTTCTGTTTTGCAATTGCAACTGTCAGTATTTCATTGCCATCAGGATTGCATTACACTGTGAAGTTGTGACATCTATATCAGAATGATATTTCACACTGCTATTAGCATGTGTGGATAATTCACAGTCAATTCTCATTCTTTGGTAAAATCGTCATGCCCCCCATAAGTTACGAAAACCCCAAATGTTAGTTAAATGAATATACAACGGGGTAATAGCATATGCTCACATTTCAGAAGTTATAACCAACAAACATGATCATTTTTAGGGAACAAATCAGTTAAATGATTAATGGATTATCGTTGTTGTTTCTTTCCACCTGTTGAAAGTGAGAAACAATGATCCATGTCTGCAGTATAGCACAGTTTTTAAAAATTACAGTTCATTTCTTCAACAAGTGGCCATAAAACGGTAAATGGATAAAACAGGAAATTCTAAAATACACACATGCACACAACATGGCACATTTTTCCCCCCCTCTGCAGTCTTTCCGATGGTTCAGTCCACTGTGGGGTTGTGTGTGTGTTGCAGTAGTGAGATGTGACTGCACTCACGTACAGCGCTGGTCTTCCCCATTGATGGAAATGTTACATCATCAGCCAGGAGCTCGTGGTGAAGCAGCCTGTTGGTCGAGTGGCTCTGCCTGCAATCCCCTCACCATGATGCATTTGTAACTAGGATGTGATGAGTAAGAGGAAGTCAGACCACTAGTGTTACTCTCTAGTACAACAGATTTTTCTCTGACGTGCCTTCAGTTGCAGCTGCACCACCCAAAATTTGTCATCTTCTTTCTGTGTTCCAAACCATAGTTTTAATGATTAAATATCAGACTTTGTGTCCTGTTAGTGGCTGACATTGAAAAATACCTAAAAGGTTACTAATTGAGGACAGGCCTTGCTTCTGCGTAGAGGAAATCATAAAAACATAGCGGAGTTGCTGCCCTATGGAGATATCAAGTTGTAAACCTGTTGCCCTGCCAGAGGAGCAGCCAGTGAGAGTGTCTGTGCTTGAAATGTCCTTCAATGCATAATTTAAAGTGAGGTAATATAAACTCTCCACTGGGTTTTTGGACCGTGGCCTGAGTTGGCAACTGGTAAAAAGACTGCTTGTATGTCGGAGTATTGATGTATATCAGCTACATACTTTTACATCTCCTGCACATTGCCTTTTTTATTTTTGTTTTGCTTTTTTTAGTATATTTTTTAAATTAATTAGGTTTCTTGTCATAGCCTTCATGGTTGTTTTTCTGGTTAAATCAGTCACTATTATTGAAAACCTCCCTAGTTTGGAAAAGTGCCGTATAAACTTACAAATTATGGCAATGTACATTATTTGATATACTATTCTTATATTGCATTGCCTCCACATGGGTACTAGTGTGTAGAACTGGCGCATTGCAGTTTAGAGCTGTAAGTATTCCGCACTCTGAACTTACTAACTTTAGAGCGTTTATTGAAGCAACATTTTGTCCAAGTAAGGACCTCACCTTAGTGATCTAAGTATTATTTGATAACGCTGCATATGTGGTTATTGTGGATCCCAGTAGCTGCACAGCAGAGTTACAGATTGACTAAATTACTGCTTCATCACATGAATCCAAGTGCTTAAATTGGACAGTTGTTAGTGACTTGCTGTACTGCCAGATTGACTGCTCGGTGAGACATTTCTGTGTCAGTTAGCCATGAGGTAGTTATGTAACCACAGACAGAAGCGCTGTATGTGAAGCGGCATTCCTCACCATGGACAAGCTATGCCACACCCCACTGAAATACACATACGCTGTTGTTGGTTGAAACATGCCCTGAAGTTTACAAAGCGTCTACTATAATTCTGTCAATAATAGATTCAGCGGGAAAAAGGAAGCGTGCACACATCTGAGCACCCTGTTTTTAAACTGGCAGTATTGAGCCAGTTAGTAGTGCACAGGATTGTACGTTGCATCTCTTCTGTTTTCCCTTTTCTGGCTAGAACACAGTACTGAAAGTGTCGTGATGAAAGCTTGGAAAGTCCAGCCCCGTAGATGAGCTTCGTGATGGTGTTGTTGCCATGGGTGACTCAGCAGAAGCGGGTGGGGGGGAACAGAATGTACAGTGGGCTATAGCAGCTAAATAAGCTATTCTGCTCTATTCTTAGTATAGATTGTGAAGACAGTGCAGTGTGCCGCTTTCTGTCTTAGCATGTTCCTTAGCATTCAAGATAAACCTTCAGGGATTAGTTACCAAGCTGTAAACAATTGGCAGTCCCTGAAAGTTTCGAGTGTGAGCTTTTTCCCAGCCGCCAGTGGCACAAATTTATTCACTACTGAGTGTGTAAACAGATGCAAGAGTAATTCAAGAAGACAACAAAAGGCTATGCTCACAATGATCCATTCTCTGTTTATCGAGAATTGCAGTTGCCACATTTTGTAATCTTTATCTTAAACCGAGTGTTTTCTTTGTCCTTAGCTTCTGTGGCTTAGATCTGAAATAGATAAACAAGGTTCCTTGTTGAGTTGCAGAGTGCGTGTCCTCTACTGTGGTTCTGTTCTTCTGCAAGTCATTGCCCATTTCATGGGATCATGCACATGAAAACACATGGATGACATAGTACCCTAAGATATCTTGTAGTGTCAACAAAAATCCTGGAAGAAGAAGAAGACTGCAAGCTAGTTGACAGATATGCGAACAATACAGGATTTAGGAACCATCTTTTGCTTTTTTTTGAGAGGAAGGAAATCCACACATTGCTAAAGTTCAGTGCAGTTTGGTAAGTCAGACAGATAAACACATGCTAGCTTGACTAAAGAGGAAATGAACCTCTAACCCTGTCTCTGTCAGGTCATTATGTAAAATATGTAAATCCACATTGTGATGCAAACTCTACCAAGGTTTGACTGTTGGCTAACAGTTTTATTATAAGTCACAATTCATCGCCTGATATCAGTTATTTGAACAGTCCGCTCCTGTTTTGCATAATTGTTAGATTTGTGTCTATTCCCCCCTAATAGAAACCTCTTTACCACCATTTGTCTCCTTTCTTGTGCAACGGTTTGAGGCACCAACTGTTTCTCTTGTAGACTTTAACTTCTAATATTCAACCAGCTGCGTTTTGATGAGCATCTGTTGACATTAACATCATATCTTACCTGTCTTTTTTTCAATGCAGGACTTCTCCAGTTGCACCAGTGAACATCATGCCTCAACCAAAGTCTCTAGACATGGGCTCTGCCTTCATCCAGACACAGCAGCTCAATGCTGCCATGGCTGACACTTTCCTGGAACACATGTGCCTGCTGGACATTGACTCTGAGCCCACCACTGCACGCAACACTGGCATCATCTGCACCATTGGTTGGTGTTTTTTTTTCTCGCTTTTAAGACAGACAGACCTTTTTTGTGTGAAAAACATAAGCAGATATACCTTCCAAGATGTAGTGTTGCAGAAGTCACTTCTCAGGAAAACACATGTAAACAAATTAGAAGTAATTAACACAAACATTCAAACCATTCTGCTATTTCTTCAATCTCTTCCTCTCAATAACTGCCTACAGGGCCTGCCTCTCGTTCAGTGGATATGCTGAAGGAGATGATCAAGTCTGGAATGAACATTGCTCGCTTGAACTTCTCCCATGGCACACACGAGGTGGGTCTTTCTCCATTTCTTTCTGCTGTGTGTGTAAATGTGTTGGGCAGGGACTGCTAAAGTTCAAGTCACGTTTTAGCTGTGCTGATAGTTGCTATCAAACATGGTTGTGTGCTTTATCACAGAGTGGTATCGGTTAGTATGTGGAGCTTTGTGGCAATCTTTGCCTTCTCTTGTCTGTCTTGTCAGTTTTTTTTCGAGCAGTGTCAGTAACTCTTTGCGTAACATCATAGTGAAAGTAGACGGTCAACAGTCTCACAATGAACAAGTTTGAAATTCATGATGAACTGTAATCAGCTTGGCACATGAAGCAAGACTAAGCCAGTGGGCATGAATGGAGGAAATAGTAGTGCTCACTTAAGATTAAATTTGTGCTAGATAACCAAGTTCACAAGTGATGCAACATTTGACTCGAAATATTTGTAGATAATTGTTCTCTCCATTGAACAATCAAACAATTGTCTCCCTGCAAAATAACGTTTACCAGTCAACAAAGATAAGAAAGAATGTGAATTTTCAAGATTATTTGTCACAAATACATTACAACATTTTTAATATCCCGGCTTGTTAGGAAGTTGAGTCAGTGTACCTTCTAGCTTAAGATAAAATACTGAGCAGATATTGCAAGATTTGTAAATTCAAAAAAGATGTTTCGTTTTTTCCTTAAATGAAAGAACAGAAAGAGCTGAAACTGTTTAGTGCAGCAAATGTTTGCCAGACATAACCACCAAACCCTAAAGGTGGAAGTCAGAGGACACACAAAGACAGACTGGCTGACTGCCATCAGCTTATACAGTACAATGAAACCTAAGATTAGTGGAAGCTTGTGGACAACTAGATTCTCCCCCTCAGGCCTCTGCAGAAAGAAGTTAGACAATCCTATCCAGAGGGCCATCACATTTATCAACAGATTTTACAGTCTATGAGAAATATCTATAAACGACAAACAGTGACAGTGTAATCCATTGGAATTGTTCCATAGAGTTACTTTATCACTTACCATCTGACATAATGACCAGGTTTTATATATTGGCATTGTAAATTAAAATGCTACTAGACGCATATTGAAATGTTCATAGCTGTGACATGAAAAGATAATTTTACAGCATTAATAAACTCCTCTTCAGTGTTAATGATTCATGGTTTGTGTGGGTTTAGTTGTTTCAGGAAGATCAAATGTTACTATGGAGTTGGAGAATGGTAAAAGAAACCAGGGCTTTGTTGACTTGGGGTACTATAAATACGTCATCTGTCCCATCGTTATCTCCTCAGCAGGCAGCACGCCTAGATATTTCAAGTTTGTGTGTACAGAAGCCAACGGCGACATTAGTTCACTGTTAACAGAAGTGGCACGATTGCACAATTCAAAAAGTCAGATTTCCTAAACTAGTATGAGTAGTATCAAAGGATCTAACACCAGTGTAATTGAACCTTAACTGGAGCTTCACTTTATACTGAGTAGGACATAAAAAGCACATGCGTGACCCTGACCTATACAGATAACATGCTGTTAAACGTCACTTTCTGCACGTTCACAGTGCAGCATCGGTTGACCTGACCTCTTATCAAAAGAATGCAATACGCTGCAGATTAACAGCAGCTACAATACCGTGCTACCTAATTCATGTCTTATTTCAGCTTTCTGCAGCTGTGTTTTTAAAAAGTTAGCATTTCAAACCCTGTAGCCTCAGTGTTGGACTACATGAGACTTATCTTAATATCAAATGTCAACGTTTTGGTGCTTTTGATGAAAACCTCTTTTGTTTATGCCGATGATGAGACGATCCAGGTTTTCTCTTAGTCATAGTGCAGCAAGGTCAGTGTAAGTCAGCATGTTGCCAGTGTGAAAGTCAGCCAATGTGATTACCTGCCACTTAAGTTATTACTGAAAGCTCTGGCTACGCAGGTGGACAGCGTAAGCCATGTGCAGCAGGAAGCTGTCTTCAAAGCCAAAATTACTTAGTGCACTACCTGTTGACTGGCCGTCACCAAAGGGCAAAGATGGTCGAATTAGAAACACAGCTGTGCTGAATTTCCTTAATTTTCCTTTCAGCATTTCCTAAAATATTTTTAGCCAATGTCGGCCCTTGTAGCAGGCATTGTACCGAACATTTCCTGGGGCAAAAGTGCACTGCTGTCATTGTTTCTGTAATCTTTTCAGAAAGAACTATAATCTGCCTTTGATGATATGAACAACAGAGCAAGAGTAATGATTTTACACAAGTTTATTTGAAGTCTGTTTACATTTGTAATTGTGCTCAGATTTAGATTGTGCAGTCTTATTGTGAGTGTTGTTCACCAACTTCACTCTAGAATTTCCTCTTGAGAAACCTTGCACTTCCTCAGCTGACTTACTTATAATAGGCAGTTGCGGGAAAAGACAGTGCAGTCTCACAAGGTGGTGATTATGCATCATAAAATAAAGGTGTAACCTGTGCTCAAGGTCACAGACTATGATGTAACAGCATTATAACCAAATACCTCTTGGAATAGGCAAATTTTAATGGAGCTTAAGTACTGCATCAGTTTAACACAGTTCACATAAAGATGTTGAGTTGTACCGTTTGGAGCACCCAGACTCCTCAGTGGCACATTACACGTCAGTCAGAGCGGTAGAAAGAACTGCATGACCCCACTGTGATGCTGACAGTGTGACTCACGTTTATGGCTATGGGAGTTGTCAGATGCACCTTATCTTTTAGTTGTCCCAGTTTGATTTTTATGTCTGCAAAGGGAAACCAGTATCTCACTTGTAACTCGTAGTATGAGCTGTGTGAAAAAGTGCTTTCTATTTTTATATCGGTGTACTTATCAGTGGAAGACTCAATAAAACAGCTTAAAGGCTGTAGGTCTGATCAAAACTAAGAACTCAAAAACTGGAGTGCCGCATCACGTCGCTGGAGATATTTTAACATGTTAAAATCTTCTTCTCTGTAGTACCATGCGGAGACCATCAAGAACGTGCGTACGGCATGTGAGAGCTTTGAGCCTGGCAGTATCCACTACAGGCCTATTGGTATTGCCCTGGACACCAAGGGCCCAGAGATCAGGACTGGCCTCATCCAGGGAGTGAGTTAAACATTGCATCTTTATAATGACTCAAACATTTGCATGAAAAACCAACCAGAAGGAAACTAACCCTCAGTCTGTTATGACGTGACAGAGTGGCACTGCTGAGGTGGAGCTGCAGAAGGGCAACATCATCAAGATTACCTTGGACGATAGTCACCAGGAAAACTGCAGTGATGAGGTCCTGTGGCTGGACTACAAGAACATCACCAATGTGGTGGAAATTGGCAGCAAGATCTACATTGACGACGGCCTCATATCCCTTCAGGTTAAGGAGATTGGTGAGTCGGAATCATCTGACACAAATATGAGATCAGATACATAAAGTCTCCATTTTACCTGCTCTTTGTTGTTAATATGTATGTTTTTCTCACGACAGGCTCTGATTTCCTCATGTGTGAGATTGAGAACGGTGGCACCCTGGGCAGTAAGAAGGGAGTCAATCTCCCCGGTGCTGCTGTCGACCTGCCTGCCGTTTCAGACAAAGACATCAAGGACCTGCAGTTTGGTGTGGCGCAGGGAGTCGACATGGTCTTTGCCTCCTTCATCCGCAAAGCGGCAGACGTACACGCTGTCAGAGCGGTGCTGGGCGAGAAAGGCAAAAACATTAAGATCATCAGCAAGCTTGAGAACCACGAGGGTGTTCGCAGGTGTGTATGTGGATGGGGTATTTTTCTCAGGGTGTGCAGAGCTGTGTCGTTCATCGTCTTTTGTTTCCGTTATTTTTACATCAGTGCTATATTTACAGTTGTTTCTTTTATTTAGTCACTGATTGGGTCGACTGAGGAACAAAACCAGTCAAGATTAATTATCCTTGTATGTAAATTCAAGTGGTTGTGAAGGCAAAGCTGTGACGAGGCCTTCAAAAGTAGTGTTTTATGAACCCACCTCTTTAGCCCTTGAAACTCTCTTCTCCTATAATAACTGATTGCTTTGGGATGTAACTGGTTGTAATGTTTTGCAGATTTGATGAGATCATGGAGGCCAGCGATGGCATCATGGTTGCCCGTGGTGACCTGGGTATTGAGATCCCCACAGAAAAGGTCTTCCTCGCCCAGAAGATGATGATTGGTCGCTGCAACAGAGCTGGAAAGCCGATCACATGTGCCACCCAGGTCAGATGAGAGTACTGTATTTCTCAAGCTACATTTACTCCAGGAGATGATGGTCTGTGTAGGATTCTTAAGAACCCTTAGGAGACTGATGTGCAGCCACAACAGTCTGAAGCATGGTCTTAGGTTTTCTAAATGTTTTAGATGTTGGAGAGCATGATCAAGAAGCCGAGACCCACCCGTGCTGAGGGCAGTGATGTGGCCAACGCTGTCCTGGATGGAGCCGACTGCATCATGCTGAGCGGAGAGACTGCAAAGGGAGACTACCCTCTGGAGGCAGTACGCACACAGCACATGGTGAGTCGATGTTTATTTACAATATTGAGTATTAGAAAAACACATCTTGAATCAGTGCTTTGATTAAAATTAGTATAACTTAATGATTGGAGAAGCATCCTTCATGATTTGTAATTTTCAGAGAAAAGAAATCAGCAGCTCCTGGGAGATTACACTTTCTTGTTTTTTGATTTTTATGTTCACCTGAACACACCTGTCGTTCAGTTGCTCATTGGCACGGCTTTCTTCTTTCCCACCTGGCCAGTTTTAAATGCTGTTAGGAGTGTTAAGCCAACTGCACGCGTCTATCATTAAGAGATCTTTCCATCCAACCATTGTTCAGTTGTATATTTACTTCCATTTAGATATGTGATTGAATAATCAATAAAGAGTTAGTAATAGTCAATTGAGGATAACTGCATTGACAAAATAAAGTGTTGGTACAGCATTCCTGTTCATGGGATGGGATATTAATTCAAGCTGTGTAGATGTTTTGAGTCGCTATACCACTGCATAATGACGTGCCTGTGGTTGCAACCATCTTTCACTGCATGTTGGTGCTTGCTTTCAAAATCAAAGTGCATGTTATCTGCACCTCTTCATTAAAACTAATTCACCGTGGCTGTTATTCTGTACCACTTCTTGACTTTCCATGGTATCCCCAAACTGGTCCGCTCAGCTCATTCATCAGCAAAGACTTAAGGTGCACAAACAACTTACCTCTTACTAGATGCACGTATTTGGATTCATAAACTAAGTTTAAGCTGATGAAAAGGGAGCGTCAGTTTTGAGTGATGCCACATTTGGATTTTTCTACACAGCATGATTCAGTCAATGCAGAGTTTGTATCTGTAACACTTGTATTTGTCAGTCAGGGACAGATGCCAGTATAATGCCTTTTGAAGTCTTAGACTGTTAATAGCTCAATCATAGTAATAAATAAGAAGCATGAAATGCATGGATGGATAATGCAGTTAATGCGGTCATGCCAGGTCTTCATTGTTCTGGCCTTCCTTGCCTAACTTTCACTGTTCAGTTACACTGCAATACAGATGCAGGAGTGACTCAGCAGTCCTACTGAGCTCCATCTTTTGAGTTTGCAGCCCCTCTGCTCACGTTGCATGGATGCCTGAGAATTCGGAGTAAACCGCAACCTCGGTTTACCTAACGTGAAAATATCACACTAACACTGCTTCCAAGCAACTGTTGCTAACAAGTATTGTTTGGATTTCTTTTTTTTTTTTCTTATTTACGTCAGACATTACAACAGCTTTCTTGTTTGTTTCTCTGGGCAGTTTTTAACCGCTTCTTTAGCTCTGTGTGCAGTGTCTGGCCTCTTAGCTCGCAGCTTGTTTTGTAACTCCCAGTTAGTTATAAGGTTTTTTAAAAGAACATTTAATGTCTTTAACCTAGCTTTATCATTTATTGTTTTACATTGTTTTAATTTTATGATCAAATAGTCCTTTCTAGAAGATTATTTCATTAGTGTAGTTGCTTTAACTCTAGAATAACATAGCTGGCATTGCAGTGGTTGTAATGTAATATGTGGATGATTGTGGTAAAAGTTTGGCCGTTCTAACCTTGATGTTCCCCTGTTTCCCCCCACTAACTGCACACCTAAACTCTTCTACTGACTGTCCCTTTGTGTTTTCATTCTGTCTCTTTCTTTTATTTGTGTGTCCTTAACTTTGTCACTCTTGTGTTCCCCATGTTCCTGTCTTTTCTCCCTTCCTATATGTGTTGTTTTGTTTTGTTATTTTACACCCATGTGTGCTTGGTGTGGGAATGCCTCTCCTCGATGCATCTTGCCCTTACTTGTGCCAGATTGCTCGTGAAGCCGAGGCAGCCATGTTCCACCGGCAGGTGTTTGAGGACCTGCGTCGTTCCACGCCGCACTGCAAAGACCCCGCCGAGGCCATTGCAATCGGCGCTGTCGAGGCCTCCTTTAAGAGCTTAGCCTCTGCGATCATTGTGCTCACGGGCTCTGGAAGGTAGGCAGGTCATCTGGTCCTGGCAGGTCGTGGAGGTCACTGATGTTGGTTCTTGAGTCTTAAGAGAGGGAGAGTAGGGCCAGGTACAGGTACTGACAAAGGGTGTAGCTGGGAGAGATGGCAAACACCTTAACTAGACCGTTGGTTGATTTGTTTATCTTTTGCCTATGTGAGCAAGTTTTAAAGATTACAGTGCTGATGGGAAAAGGCAGAAATTTACATGTTTACCCATCGGTTCTTTCCCCTCTTTTTATTATGATTGATGATTTTATCTCTTACCTTGCTTCACTGGCTACCTTTGTTTAAACATCAGTCTAGCTACATGTTTGCCACTCTCTCCCAGTGGTGTGACTGCCTCAATGTGCAACAGTGGAGTGACTGAGAGTAACCCCCCACCCTTCCCTTCGGGGCTCAGATAGCACGAGAGGCCGAGGCTGCCACCTTCCACAGACAGCTGTTCGAGGAGCTGAGGAGACACTCGCATCTGACCAGAGACCCTTCAGAGGCTGTTGCTGCTGGAGCTGTTGAGTCGTCCTTCAAATGCTGCGCTAGCGCCATCATTGTTCTCACTAAGACTGGGAGGTAAGAAAGAGCGGGATAGCGGTGAAATGGTCCTGGTCCTGAAGGTAAGGTGTTGTCAGACACATGCCAGTCTGTTTAACACAGCTCTTGATTCTCCATCCAGAGAATTGCTTCTCCGTCCCATTATGCTCTTGGTTGCCCCCCCACCCCTTTAATTTTGTGTGTGTATGTGTGAGCGTGAGAGAGAGAGAGAGAAATGTGCGTTGTTACATGGGGAGGTAGAGATAGCAACTGATTTTAAGAATGAAAGTGGGAAATGTCATTAGCCCCGGTCAGGTGTCCAGCTTCAGACTGGTCATATTGTCAGTAGCTGTGTGAGTATCAATGGCAATCATTAGTTAAATAAATATGTCATTTGCTGTACAGATAGACTTGCCAGCATGGCTATTCATTTTGCATAGCTACTCAATAAAAAAAAGCAGAAAAAAGTTTATTTTATATTACAACACTGACTGATTTAACAGGAAAGTTTTGTGATGATGAAGTAAATCCTCAGCACACACCACCATGCTCCATAAGTGTTTTCACTTATTTTGGCTGCTTCAACCTCTCAGGACTGTCAGGGCGTTTACAGACCTGCCTTCCCTGCTTCTCCTGCGAGTTTGTTTGAAAATGTTAGGGTGGGACAACTGTACATGTTTTGTGGTTTTTATTTAGCTAATGGCGTTTATCAAACTTGATCTTCGAGCACACGGGGGCTCTTAACCTGAGAAGAAATCTAAACAAGCCAAAATATCTGAGAACACTTAAGTGAGGTGCCTGGTTGCTCAGTTTTTAATCACTTCTTGCAAGAATCCCTCCGCATGGAGTTAATTTACATGTATTAAGTATTGAGGTTAATGACTTACACTGTGCTACAAACATTATTCAACTCAAGATTTTGTACCGATCACCTTCACATTCTGCTGTGAATGTACAGTAGTGTGGAAAAGGTATGCAAACCCTGCGGCTAATGACATCAACAAAGGTTAATTGGATTCAGGTTGCTTAGACGGCACATGGCAGAGTGCTCATTGAAACCTTAAGATTGTTGAAGAGCATCTTGACACTCCTCAAGACTACCGGGACATTGTTTTATGGTTGGATGAAACCAAGGATTACCTGTTTGGGATGAACACAACATTATGTGTGGCCTACAAGGGGCACTATATAGAAACATGAAAACATCATTCATATGGTAAAGCATGTGAATGTTTAACGGGTGTATTCAGTAAAGACACCAAATATTTAAAATGTTTGCATGTTATCAGCCTAAGCATGTGTTTGTCCATACTTGCCACTTAAACACGATCAGATTTTATCACCAGTTAATGCAGATTACCAGGTAACTCCTGATGGTTCACCCTTTGAGAGGTTTGCACACCTTTACAGCTGCTCTGTATGATTTGATCAGTATTCTGTCCATCACGTCCACAATTAATTCACTCTGTTGAAATAATTTTTTATTACTTAAAATGTAAATGAAGGTGTTTTTTTTTTTTGTGCAGGTCCGCCCACCTGATCTCCAGGTACAGGCCCCGAGCCCCCATCCTGTCTGTGACCCGTAATGCCCAGACAGCTCGCCAGGCCCACCTCTACCGTGGAATCTTCCCCGTTCTCTACACCAAGCCCTCCAACGATGTGTGGGCAGAGGACGTCGACATGCGCGTCAACTTTGCCATGGATATGGGTAAGCAACTGTGTTATCTTTAATATCCTGTGCAGTTATATGGCAGTGCAGGCAAACAACTTTATATTTTTAGAAAACAAAGCGGAGCCAAAACTTAAATTAAATTCTAAGGGGTCAAATTAGTGGAATCCTTGGATGAAAAATCATTTTCGACACATCTTTTGCTATGAAGCCTTGACTTAGAACATTGTGTTTAACTACATTTATTACATCAAATCAGCAAAGCTTGGCTGACTGTTTCATGTTTAATGTTCTAGGCAAGGCCCGAGGCTTCTTCAAAGAGGGCGACGTTGTCATCGTCTTGACCGGCTGGCGCCCAGGCTCCGGCTACACCAACACCATGCGCGTCGTTCTGGTGGCCTGAACAGACAACAGAGCTGCTCCGCTTTCTCCCTCCACTTTCATCGACCTTTAATAGCTCTCCACCCCACACATCACTCCTGCTCACGGCCCTTCTCATCCATCTCCTGGGCTGGCAGACTCAACAATTTAGCATTTAGGCAATAATGCAAAGAAATTATAAAAGAAAGAGGATAGCCTTTTACGGCTCAGGAGCTGTTTTTGGTGGGAGTAGAGTTTTGTTCCATACAGTTCCACATTTTCATTCCTTTCGCACTGATTCTCTCAATCAAACCAGTCTTCAGGGCCTCAGATTAATACACCCTGACCACAAACTGCTGTATTTTATTCACTGAAACACTTGTATTACTAAAAGTCTATGAGTGAATGCATCCTGGTCTGTGTGCATGCGCATACCGACTCCTGTTTAGGTGGGGTAGGTGGCGGGGGCCGGCTGACGGTAACAGAGCACCCTGAGTACTGTAACGGTTCACTAATCACACTCCCCCGCCTGCCGATTTAACGAACAAAATGGTGGCATCCAAAAATCAAAGGGCTCTTCTCACAGCACAGCCTCACTCCACCTCTCCACCTAAACAGATCCTTCTGTAGTGCTGCCTGTGTAAGGTGTCTTCTCATAAGCCAGCTTTCACTGTATTTCAGTGTATCTGTAAGTGTTGCACTCCTAATCTATTCCAGACTATGTTACATTCTATATTATACTTGACTTTTGTGAATGGTGAACTTTAGTTTTAGGACATCCAATGCTACTTATATTTTGTCTGACTATAGAAAAAGGTTAGTTTTGGATGTCCGTTCCAGAGGTGTTTAAACTAGTTACTGTATTTGTGTTGTTGGATGTGTCATGAAGCCTTTACATTTCTTTCCTCGGGATCATATCTGAGTTGGCGCTTATGAATCACGTCTGGTTCTCTAAAGTTGACTGATATGAATGAGCACTTTTACGGTGTTTTGGGTTTTTTTTTTTCTCCAGATGACTAAAGTAGAGATGAAGCCCTGTCCCTCTGAGTCAAAGTGGAAGACGGGTACATTCCCTCTGCTCGTCTTTCTATGTTGGTGGCCCAATGTAGCTGTCTTCACGTGTCTAACTTGCTTTTGATTGTACTGCTAGAGTGTAAGAACTAACTAAATGTAAAGGGGTATTATAATGTTTAGCCGGTGTACTGAGCTGTCCTACAAGACTGGAGTTCCATCAATAAAAGAGATGAGCACCTACCTGAACTCTGCCTTGCGAATTATTTGTTTGATGAATAACCAGAACTGTACATTTGTTTGGTACGACAGTAACTTTACACCAAGTTGAAGGTTCTGGAGAGACTTGAGTCTTTTGCAAATTTGTTGAAAATGTATTTCATACTTTTATCTAAGGTTTTAGTGTTTCAGTTTATTGCTAAAGCATCCATTTTATTACATACAAAATCACAGTGCAATGGCATATTAAATGTCTGCTGCATTCAGGTTAGACAACAAGA